CTAACAGAAGGAGTCTTTCTGCAGATGCTATAACTTATCAAACAAACACAGATCACAAATCTGATTTTAAAGTTTAAAGACCATATTTAATTTGATTAGGAATAGTTCCCAAAACAAATATAACCTCTATATAGTACATACCTCCCAGTAAATAAGAAAGCATTCGTTTGCCTTATTTCTCCAGTGCTCAGCATACCTTAACTCTTTCGGGCCCCGTAGACAGCAAAGGGCGGTGAGTACTTCATGAACTTTATATTGTTGTGGCGTGAACTTCTTTTTTGAAATTTTTGTAAAGATGTGAATAAATGGCTGTCTGGAATGCAAGATAAACATCATTCATAAGATTAACATCTGTTGGAATCTTCATTCATCACGCTAGATTTTCATTCTTTTTTTTTTTAAAGAATTACCCAAATACAAATGAACATTTATGCATCATCACTCATCAGTCTGAAAATCACACTGCTCAGGCAGAGGATAAAGATTAAAGGAACCAATGTGTACCTACTAAATAGCCTGTATTTTAACCCGTGTGTGTGTGTGTGTGTGTGTGTGTGTGTGTGTGTGTGTGTGTGTGTGTGTGTGTGTGTGTGTGTGTGTGTGTGTGTGTGTGTGTGTGTGTGTGTGTGTGTTCAGGCCTGTGGAGGACAGCAGCCAGCCTCCGGGCCGAGGGGTCCTCTCCATGCAGGGTCTGACCTACGGGGTGGTGAGGGTGGACACAGAGGAGCGCCTCTCCGTGCTCACCGTGCAGGACGTGGGCACTGTCACACCAGGAGGTGTGTGTGTGTGTGTCTGTCGTGTCTTAATCAGGCTTATGTGTTCTTTAAATCCATGCCCACTTGTTCCTTAAAGATTTAAACGGCCGGCCCTCAGTGTTGTCATTAAATCGTTGAATTAGTTTTAAGGGCGTGTAAATATCTGTCTCCGAACGACTGAGCGAGTTAAGTGGGTTCAACTTTTTATTTTAAATTCAAACGCCTGAAAAAAGAAATCGGCAAAAGACGGGAGAGAGTTTTCAATATGGCTGCAGTCCATTCTCATCAACTGAGTTTCCCTCCGGAGACAAAGTCACACGGATAGTTTAACAAGGTAACGCAGAACATAAAAAAGCTCTCAGGACATTATACATCATCCGCTCAGGCCGTTAGGAAGGATCCACAGACACCACTGACGTTATTACTTGGCTGACCCAAATAAACCTGTTTAATAAGGACCCCAACCAGAGATTGATTTCTTTATTGATGAGTTCAGAGATTATGTTTTTAATAACTTGCAAGGTCTTAAAAGTAATTTGAAATATATTTATTTTAGTGCTATAAAAGTTTTCTAATGGATACAAAGTTTGTATTTTGCAAGCTTGAACCAGTGTGTTTCCCAACATGTAGCTGACATATCATGAGCTTAAAGTTGTTAATAATTAATACAAATACTGCTGGGGATCTTTAACTTTGGATATTTAGCGACAGTGAAATAAGCGAACTTTGCTTATTTCAGTGCCTTAACATAACATCACTGATCTCTCCTCCACACTCACACCACCTAGTGTCTAACTGCAGCAACTACACCCACTGCAACACCACTTATAAATTAAAGGCAGGATTGAAAATCTCTAAACTCTTTCAGACCCTCAGTAATAATCTTGTTTGGGAAGTTCTCTTCCATTCGCCTAAAAAAATCTTGATCTTCAACTTGTGAAACCCCAACAGATACAGTAAAGTTATAGCACTCTCATCATCAGAATAATACTACCTCTTCTGAGTGTTAATACTATAAAATTACTATTAATGTTGTAGCCATACTTGATATGCTAATCTAATAAAAGATTAACTCTGAATTGAAGTGTAGTAAAAATATAAAGTGATTCAAGTGTAAAAATACTCAGATTTATTAGTACATCACTTCAGTAGTTTGTTACTTCCCACAACAAGGCCAGTCTGGCACCTTGATACCGTATCGTTAATATTCAACTGGCACCACCTCCTGTTTAGATATTCTCTTCCTAACCCACTTCCTGCTGTAGTCTGGTTTTGGGTCGACCCAGACGTAGGTAGACGTCCTAACTGGGTCAGAACAACCTACTTTAGCCAGTTAAGCCCGGTACCGGGGGAAAAACACAACACCTTGCAAGAAACAGCGTCTGAGGGCTTCTTAACATTTAACAAACTATGAATGTGTCATACCCACCCAATGGGTAATGTTTAGATGGATGTTAGGAACTTCCCCTCGATTCTATTGGCTCTAACGGTTAAAAAGAGGTGTCAATCATCAAAACCGACTGAGAGGGGCCAGAGATATGGAAAATGCACCCAAATGATCCCAGAAGTGTTTTTTTGTCTTCTAAACCTCTCTAAAAAGGTCAAATGTCACTTGTTTTGCATCAATCTTGATACAGGGTACTTATTATATGTTATAGTTTGGATTCCTAAAGCTTTTAGTCTACTATCCCATCATTCAAGGGTGGTTTTCACTATAAGTAATGGGTTTTCTTTGGACGGAAACTTCAAAGTTGTTAACCCTGTCCCCCCCCAGGCCTGGTGTGTGTGGTGAAGCCAGAGGGCCTCCCCCAGCTGTGTCAGACGGATGAGATCGGGGAGTTCTGCGTCTGCTCCGTCGCCACCGGCACCTCCTACTACGGCCTCACCGGCATGACCAAGAACACCTTCGAGGTGTGTGTTGCGTGTGTGTGTACATGTGTGTTTAGTTTGTCACACGTTTTCTTTTTTTACAATTCTTTATTTCGAAGACAGTTGAGAACATTTCACCAGTTGCAGTGAAATATACTTGCAGTTACAGGGAGTAGTAAACATTTGCAATAAGGGTACAGTATACATTGAAACCCTCCACTTCTTATTGTCCTCTTCTTTTTCTGATGTGCCGTTTGTCATACATCAAACTGATCCAATACTGAACTGTTTATATGATCAGAGCTGCCTCTTAGCTTGATTTGGCACTATTTCATTCAAAACTCTCTAAAAACATTAATTAAGAGCGACAGCAGTGTGACACGATCAATAGAAAAGTCCTGAGTAAGACATATCTATCCAATCTATTTCTGGCTTGTTGCCATGGCGACCCTGCAGCTGAGCATGTGTGTGTGCAGGTGTACCCTGTGGGCCCCAGCGGGGGTCTGGTCAGCGACTACGCCTTCGTGCGGACCGGCCTGCTGGGCTTCATCGGGCCCGGCGGCCTCGTCTTCATCACGGGGAAGATGGACGGCCTCATCATGGTGAGCGGGCGGAGGCACAACGCCGACGACATCGTTGCCACGGCGCTGGCGGTCGAGCCGATGAAGTTCGTGTACAGGGGAAGGTGAGCAGAGGGGGCGGGGCTTAAAGTCAAACGAACAGTTAACGAAATCCAGCAGCCAGATGTCAACCGTGCTGCATTCAATGACAGCGAGATAAATGAGCCGTCTCCCCGCACATAATACAGCTGATGAAGTGGAGCAGCCGAATCCAGACACAGCCTTAGAGCGGAGTTTAATTGTGAGAGGAGGAAATTCATCTTTCTCCTGACAGCTCTCATGACGTTTCCAGAGTTATTTAAGGTGCAAGCTTCTGCAGAACCCAAGTCACAGAGGAAGGATCCCATATTGAAATGAAATTGAATATTCTATTGATTTTGAATTTGAATATTTTAATTGCAAGATGTAAAAGAGACAGAGGAGAGTTATGGGTTAGAGTGTGTGCTGTCATCTCTGATTCTCTCTTTATTTCTTGATGTTTTATTACTGGAGTGCTGGCTGGAGTACTCTGATTGAATCAGCTGAGTGTGTGCATGGTTCACTGTGTAATACCATTTACTTTTATTGTCCGCACACATTATTTTTACTTCCCTCCCTTTATATACTGCGTACTACAACATATGCTGTAGAAATACATTTAAAAAGGCAGTTTTTAGATTCCTGTTGCTCTCCTTTGACACCAGACACTTGATAAGAAGCATGAAAAACCTAAACTAATCATGTTTTGATTCAGATATTCAGCGCAGTTTGAGTCGTTTTCAAACTCAAATTGTCTGATTGATGGAAACATTTCTGACAGTATGCCAATGTGTCAGCCCAGTTCAGAGACAGCTACACTGACATAGAGACATGAAGAGTTATTTTCTCCTCCGCCCTGCAGGATAGCGGTGTTCTCGGTGACTGTGTTGAGAGACGAGAGGATCGTGGTGGTGGCGGAGCAGCGGCCTGACTCCACGGAGGAGGACAGCTTCCAGTGGATGAGCCGCGTGCTGCAGGTGATCCTCACTGTTCCTGTTATTCTGTCCACCTGTCAGGGTGTCCGCGGGGTCTTAAAAAGTATTAAAAGTCGAAATTTGACTTCGGGATTCCTGTGACACATTGCACTTATTCTACCACTGACTGCAAGTGAGAAATAAAGAAACTCTTAACTAAGGGTTGTATCTAACATTGTACAGTAAATCATCTCGTAGATCAAACAGAAATCGAAACATGAAATTAATTAAGAGACACTGACACAATGTAAGACTGATTATTGATCCTAAACCCTCTAACCCCCATACTTTATTTATTTTAAATATATAAACACAATTAGATGTTCAACATCTTGAACCATGATTTCACAGTAATTCCTCCCCATCAGAAAATCTCACTCTGCTCTGCCCCCCCTCCTCTCTCTCAGGCCATCGACAGTATCCACGGGGTGGGGGTGTTCTGCCTGGCTCTGGTCCCGGCCAACACTCTGCCTAAAACCCCTCTGGGGGGCATCCACCTGTCAGAGATCAAGCAGCTGTACCTGGAGGGGGGGCTGCACCCCTGCAACGTCCTGATGTGCCCCCACACCTGCGTCACCAACCTGCCCAAACCCCGGCAGAAACAGCCAGGTGGAGAACAGCTAGACATCTTACAAGAGTGTGTTAGTCTGCGACGGATGGTCTCTGTTAGAAGCTGAATACAATTGTTAATGTGTGTGTGTGTGTGTGTGTGTGTGTGTGTGTGTGTGTGTGTGTGTGTGTGTGTGTGTGTGTGTGTGTGTGTGTGTGTGTGTGTGTGTGTGTGTGTGTGTGTTTGAGAGAGTGTCTGTCTGTGTGTGTGTGAGAGAGAGAGAGAGAGAGAGAGATTGTGTGTGTATGTGTGTGTGTGTGTGTGTGTGTGTGTGTGTGTGGGTGTGTGTGTGTGTGTGTGTGTGAATGTATGTTTATGTGTGTCTCTCTGTGTGTGTGTGTGTGTGTGTGTGTGTGTGTGTGTGTGTGTGTGCTGCAGAGATCGGCCCTGCCTCTGTGATGGTGGGGACCCTGGTGTCAGGGAAGAGGATCGCTCAGGCCAGCGGCAGAGATTTAGGACAGACTGACGACAACGACCAGGTGAGACACACACCGTCTGCAGTATCCACGGTGATATGTCCTGAGTCTCAGCTCTAAATGCAACCTTTTGTGTTTCAGTTCCTGTTCCTGTCCGAGGTCCTGCAGTGGAGAGCTCAGACCACACCGGACCACATCCTCTACACCCTGCTCAGCTCCCGGGTAACAACACACACCGCTGTCACTATTCACATCACAGGGGATTAGTCTCTTAACTGTCCCTCAGATCATTCATCGTTTAAAAACTGCAGCATGCTGACAAAATATAAAACGAGAGATCTTAGCAAATTAGAAATATTTCCGATCAACAGACAAAGTGTTATTGTATTTTTACATGTAAGATACAGAAGCAACTTACCTCCTTTCAACAGAAGCAGACAAATAATTAAACAACAAAAACAAATTAGGAAGTGACAGGTACAATCGACAAATAGTTAAAGGAACAACCGGCTCTCATGGATCCCTCTCCTCCCTCTCCCCTCCTCCAGGGGGCGGTCTCCAGCTCCCTCACCTGTCTGCAGCTCCATAAGAGGGCGGAGCGCGTGGCGGCGCTGCTGATGGAGCGAGCCGGTCTGCAGGAAGGAGACCACGTGGCTCTGGTCTACCCCCCAGGTCAGAGCACGCACACTTATTTTCTAACAATATCTGTGCTTAGATTCAAAATGTCTGACCAATCTGAATCACGCCTGCAGGCATCGACCTGGTTGCAGCCTTCTACGGCTGCCTGTACGCCGGCTGTGTTCCCATCACCGTGCGACCCCCCCACCCTCAGAACATCTCCACCACCCTGCCCACCGTCAAGATGATCGTGGAGGTAAGGGACTATTAAGTACTCTCTCACACCGCTTTTCTACTTGGCTGAAGAAAGCACTACATACTTTATTTTTATGTACCTTGTATTTAGAGTTGAATTGCCTTTTTCATAGTCTCTATAAGAGATGCTCGCTCCAGCTGTGTAAGAGGAATAAGGAAATGAATTATTGAAATGAAAGGATCATACAGCAGTATCCTTAAGATTGCCCCCCCCGCCCTGCAGGTCAGTCACTCGGCCTGTGTGATGACCACGGCGGTGATCTGTAAGCTGCTGCGCTCCAAGGAGGCCACAGCCACCGTGGACATCCGGAACTGGCCGCCCGTCCTCGACACTGGTACGGCTGCAGTCCATTCTTTTTTCAAATTGTACATGTTTATTGAGGTCCCTATAATCGTGACACTTGATTGGTGTCAATAGCATAAAGCATTCAGTCCAAAGAAATGAACAGTTACAACTTATTAAAAATGTTTGTGCAGCGAAAATGTGAAATCTTTCCATTTTATGAAGATGAAAGTGTGTGTGTGTGTGTGTGTGTGTGTGTGTGTGTGTGTGTGTGTGTGTGTGCGTGTGTTGCAGATGACCTTCCAAAGAAGAAGCCCCCTGCTCTCTATAAGCCCACCAACCCTGACGGTCTGGCCTATCTGGACTTCAGCGTGTCGACCACCGGCATGCTGGCTGGAGTTCAGGTCAGCTCACAGTTAACTCACACAAACAAAAAACTATTACAGACTCCCCTCTTTATTCTATTTTCTGTTTTCAATATCTATTTATCAATATATGGAATGCACTTTCCTTAAATCCTCTCATAGTGTGTGTGCTTCCTTAAAGAACGATTCCTTTTAGATTAGCGCTCCATCTGTCTGCCTTAGTTCGTCTCTGTGTGTGTGATGTCGTGTCTCTCTCTCCTCCCTACCTCTCTCCAGATGTCCCATAATGCCGTTGGAGCCTTCTGCCGCTCGGTGAAGCTGCAGTGTGAGCTGTACCCATCCAGAGAAGTGGCCATCTGTCTGGATCCGTACTGCGGCCTGGGCTTCGTGCTGTGGTGTCTCTGCAGGTCCGTGCCCCCCCCCCACTCACACCATTTAAATGTACTTATCAATGTTCAATATCAGATGACAGTGTGAAAGATGTCGCTCATAGTGAACCTACGAAGTATTGTTAGCTGAATCTGCAGCTTCTCTTTGGCTGTATCATTTACATTTTTAATAACCACTGTGAATGATCTGTCCCTATATTTCACTGCAGTAGCTTATTTATTATTATTATAGAAATGTTGGTTCATGTTATACTCAAATAACCATGAATTCTAGAATGTTTTCCTCATATAAAAAGAACAGACATTTTATCCGTGACGTTTCAAACTCTGCTTCCAGATCTCAGGTCTGCTTAGTTTGAAATCCCCAGCTCATAAATCCTGATCTTGGCGAGAGCAGACTTCTGCTGCTGAATGTCGTATAAATAAAGCACACTGCAAATCACTTTCGCTATGAGAAGTTTCTCGTCAACCTAAATGACGCTAAGATTAATGTCCGTGATTTTGGTTCTCTGGGAAATATATCTCGATCTCTAAGAGATGAATGCTTATTTTATTGCATATAAGAAGTAAAAGAGTGTGTTTGTTTCCTGCAGTGTGTATTCAGGCCACCAGTCCATCCTGATCCCCCCCGTGGAGCTGGAGTCCAACCCGGCGCTGTGGCTGCTGGCCGTCAGCCAGCTGAAGGTGCGAGACACCTTCTGCTCCTACAGCGTCATGGAGCTCTGCACCAAAGGACTGGGCCTGCAGACCGATGCGCTCAAGGTCAGAGACACAACTCCAGCCACAAAGATTCATTACATATTTAAACCCTTTTCAATCAACTGGACATTTACTAGAAACATTTGTAGGCCAGTTCGCGCCTCTCAGAGATTTGTCTCAGGGCTGGTGATCCCAGATTCTATCAGTGCTCTCTAACTCAGCCACACATGAAGCCTGAGCTGACTCACTGCGGAGACATGTGTCCCCCACAGTAATAAACTCAGAGCGTCTCCGTCTGCGCAGCCTGAGGACACGTCTGAAGTCACCGGCGCCTCTGATTGGTCACAGCAGAGTTAATTTGAGTGATTCTCTTTCTTTAAGTCTCCATGGAGACTGAAGGATGAACGCGGGAAGGAAAGTAGGAATGATCCGAACTTACTCACACCTCAGTATTTCTGTCCTTCTGAGCACTGACAGAAAGCAGTGAAGCATCAACCTGCTTCACTTCTGCTCCAGAAGAACACTTTGTTTATTTCATTGATTTTTGCTTCAAATGTTATTTCTACGGCTACAGAAGAGGAATCAGATATGAATCTCTGAAAAGCAGAATAACTTGTGACAGCAGGAGATTAGAGTTGTGTTAATCTGTTGCAACAGGATTTCAGTATTCATTTATTAAGTGAAGTTAAAAAAATAAGCATAAAAAAGTAAGTATAAAATATATATATGGGATAATTAGTCAGCTCTGTAAATATATATAAAACCCTGATAAATAATTCTCATGATAAACCCTCACATGAGAAGTCCTCAGAAGTCCGCTGATGAAATGTGTTGTCTGTCTCCTCCCCAGGCTCGGGGTCTGGACCTGTCCCGGGTCAGGGCCTGCGTGGTGGTGGCGGAGGAGAGGCCCAGGATGTCGCTCACACACTCCTTCTCTAAACTCTTCAAAGACCTCGGCCTCCACCCTCGATCTGTCAGCACCGCCTTCGGCTGCAGAGTCAACCTGGCCATCTGCCTGCAGGTAAACAGCTGATTCTGCTGCACGCTGAACATCACAGACTCAGGAAACTACGGCAGCAAAACTGAGTCGGAAATTATGATTACCAAAGAAACAGAATGCTTTATAAATTACACTATTTTTTATTTTCTCAAAACGGCAAAAAATACTTTTAGTCACTTTTTCTACTCCAAAAATGTTCAACTTTGAATTAGATTATGTCATTTTGGAGCAAAGTTCTATTTGTAGAATATATTTTCTTAATACAAAATCCTTGTTTGCTTTTTGAAAAAACACCTCACAGTTCATATTAAGTGGTGCAGTGATGCGTCCTAAAACCCGGAAGTGAGTTAGCATTTTACCACTTCCGGTTCCTTCGACAAAAAGCAATGCAATCTCTCCATAGGATTTTGGAAATAGCTGGAAATCAGGTCTGTGGTTGAGACACATTGAGAGAGACAGATCAAGTTTTGTTCTACGACATTAAATCCATCAGCAGTGACCCCACTGGTGATTTCTGAAGAGTTGACGTGTCTGAGAAACGATGGTTGTTACCAAGTGGCTGAATAGGACTACAGAAGTTGCCCAGTTCTGCTTGAAAGCAAGTCCCTGCCTCCTGCAGACTGTTCAAACAAACGCTTCAACTCGTACCATTTAGAATCTGTATGTTTGAATATGGATCTTAAGTTGGCGTGACGTTGAAGCAGAGACCCTGCTGTAGTTCCTTTATAGCATAACGTTAGCATTTTGCTTCTGGCGACTAGATTTATGATTCGAAAATTATAAAAGTAGGGTAGACGTGTGGATATTATCCGGCTGAACAAAACGTGATCCGTCTCTTAAATGTGTTTCAACCACAGACCTTATTTCCAGCTATTTTCCAAAATCCTATGGAGAAATTGCATCGCGTTTTTGGCGAAGGAACCAGAAGGAGTTTGCTTCCGGGTTTTAGGACGCGTCACTGCGGTTCTCTATTGAAGTACATTGTAAGTTTCATTTGAAGCAATGTCCGGCAACTGTTTATCAACGAGAAATAAATAGATACAAATCTGAAAGTGTCAGTTTTGGTTTATTTCCTGTCCCTTCAGCATCTCACAACCCACTTGTTGTGATCTCTTGTCATTAGATATCA